TAGAGTAACAGAATCTGCCGAGTGGCAGTGACGGTTCTGTTATCCAAATGAAGTTGATTGTGTTTCCATCGACACCTTGGATTTTGTATGGAAGGCTATTAGTTTATTGTCAAATCAATGAAACAAATTCTATGTACAAAGCTATTATCTCTAGCAGCTGTACTGTGGTGTTTATGGTAGATTAATTACCCGCCATTGGGTGTAATCTACGTATACTGCTATTATCTATTCTAGCAGCTGTACTGTGATGTTTATGGTAGATTACCTAGTATTACCTATACTCAGATTTTCCGGTATGGTTTCCCCTTGTCAGTGATGCAGGACGGAGGGCCTGACAAGGACAGCTGTCTAGTCGTTCGGATGGGACGAAAAACCGAGGTCCCGTGTACACATTGGCATGCACATAAATGATCCCTTGGCAGTTGGAATTCGATATAAGATTAGGCCGTAGCGCCACTGCCCGGGCAAAATTTCCCTCGTAGCACACTGAATGGCGTATGCCCGTCTTCATTAGCCCAGGTTAGGAGCAGAAAAGTAGGATGTTAAACCCCCATTTCATTTCATTTCCAATACTCACAGCACACTCCATGATATACATGCACATCTTCATTAGCACATTTGGTGAGAGAGAGGTTTAATGGCGTTTAACGTCCACTTGACACAACTAGGTTATTTCAAAACTAACATAAGGTTCAAATTTGTTTCAATAATTCGCTTGCACATAGGGTGGGAGGAAACCGGAGGACATGACCCTACTCCTTGTCACATACAACCAGGGAATTGAAACCACACCAGTTGACTCAATGACAGACCTTATGATATAGCGCGCACGTGCTAACCATCTGACCACCCAACCTCCCCTAACACGTTTGGTATACAAAAATAGGATGTTGAAACCTATCTAATTAAGACTTTATATATAGATTTATATTATCTTTCAGTTGAATCCTGCAACACCTTCATTGATTGCAGTTGGATACAGCAAAAAAAGTTGGGAAATGTCTGCATAATCCTGTACTGTGGTGTTTATAGTAAATAATCTAACATTAGTTAGTTATTATCAACAATACGGTGAAATCTCATTCAAATCCTGTGTTACTAGACACTCATTTATGTTGGGGGCGGATGGTCTAATGGTTAGCGCTCGGTGTAACATACATGTAAGGTCTGTCATTGAGTCAAGTGGCATGGCATCGATTCCCCGGTTGTACATATACGTGACAAGGCGCGGGTCGCCTATCCAACCTCTAGGGTTTTCTCCAGGTCCTGCGGTTTCCTCGCACTGCTAAAGACCCCTGTGCGCACACGAATTATTGATATAAAATTGAATCATGTGTTGGTCCCGAAATGACCTAGTTTGTGTCGAGTGGACATTAAACCCCATTTCTCTCTCTCTCAGATTTCCTCAAGGTCACAAGATGTAAACAGTGTAGCGCTAACAATCACGTGGCCTAACACCGTTTACGTTTTGTGACCTTGATGAAATCTGTAGGTGGCCTTAATATTTAGATGTTCACTGGTCTACTTGACATGCAATGGGGTGGAGGTTCTAGTGGTTTAACATGTCTGTATGCCGTGAAACCCCCAAGGCCTGTCATTGAGTTAAGTGCTGTGGTTTCAATTCCCCGCTTGTACGTAACAAGGAGTTGGGTCTCCTGTACAACCTTGTGGTTTTCTTCCACTGCTAAAAATAAACCATGACCTACTTTGTGTCAAGTGGATGTATAAAGATGTGTAAAAATGTTGAGAATTTTAAGATTAAACTGAAAACTCATTAATTTTGCACACTGAAGGAACCATAACATTCAACTGATATTACATGTATATATGTCTTTGTAGCTTAGGAGGGTCCTATGGAAGATTAGTTTTTTGGTTTTGTTTTTTTTGCAAACTAAATACGTTGCCTCATTAAATAAAGTTTTTATTATTATTATTATAAACCCCATTTCTCTGTATCTCTCTCTGACATGCAATGATCCTATACAAGTAGAACAAAATGATCAAGTGGATGTATAATCACTTTAAAATATCGATCAGTATATAAAATTAATAATATACAATCCAGTGTTACAACATATAATTTTAAATAATACCTACATTCATTTAATGTATCATAAATTCATAAAAATACATGGTATATAATGTATCATACATATATTTAATTAAAAATACATAATATTAATTAAATAATACATATATTTAAAGTATCATACATAATATTAATTAAATACATATCATACATAATATTAATTAAATACATATCATACATAATATTAATTAAATAATACATATATTTAATGCATCATACATAATATTAATTAAATAATACATATATTTAATGTAATGTATCATACATAATATTAATTAAATAATACATATATTTAATGTAATGTATCATACATAATATTAATTAAATAATACATATATTTAATGTAATGTATCGTACATAATATTAATTAAATAATACATATATTTAATGTATCATACATAATATTAATTAAAATACAAAATGTGACAACATCCTGTACCATTATTTGAAATAATATACAGGCAACATGCAAATCATACATTATTTATACTAGATGAAATATTGGACTCCTGTGACCATTTCATTGAAATGCCTGTATGGGATAGTATCTGTATTTTATGTTGATTAACGGTATTTAGCAAGACTTGCATATTAATATATTGATACAACACTTGGACCAATGTCCTTGTGCAGTATCAATATATTCAATATATCGCTCTCAACTCAACCATTAAACATACATTATGCAAGAGCAAAATCGGCCTATTGTAGGTCTTTCTTTAGGCCTGAAATGTTATAAAAACTATTAATTAGACATTAATTAACTTATCAAGACTATTAGTTTTGTCTTATCGACTTCAGTAATGATGATCGAGGCGAAGCGCGCTTGGTTCTCAGTTCATAGTTGATCAATTTGACTGAAATTTTCAGCAAGTTGCCTTTACATTATGTAGTTTTTAACTATTATAGTGAGAACTGCCAACTCGTTATCTAATCTCCCATAATGTATCTTTAAACCACATATAAGTATCATGATATTAAATTTTAAATACATGTCCATATATTTAATGTATAATATCAAATTTTAAATACATGTCCATATATGTAATCTATGATATCAAATTTTTCATACATGTCCATATATTTAATGTATAATATTAAATTTTAAATAAGTGTCCATATATGTAATATCAAATGTTAAATACATGTCCATTTAATGTATTATAATTTCAAATGCTACATGTGTTTTCATATTTAATAATATCAAATAATACAGGTTCTAGGGCTGAACGATATTAGAAATTTTCATTATTGCGATAACAATAAAAAGATCCACAATATACATTTACTGCAATTTTATACTGCTTTGAGACAAAAGGTTTGAAAAGAGGTGACAAACCTTTCAAATAGATGGCCGAATGGTTAGCACGTGTGCACTGTATCATAAGGCCTGTCATTGAGTCAACTGGCGTGGTTTTGACTCACTGGTTGTACGTGACAAGGAGTAGGGTTGCCTGTCCAACCTTGTGGGTTTTCTCCGGGTACTCCGGTTTCCTTCCACTGCTAAAGACTACTTCGTGCAAGCGAATTATTGAAATGAAATTGAAAGATTGTGTTAGCCCCGAAATGACCTAGTTTGTATTGAGTGGAGTTAAACCCCATCTCTCTCTCTCTCTGTAAAGCATGGAAATTTAAATTATTGTGAGGTTAAGCTTATGATATCAAATAATACATGTTCATATATTTAATGTATCATAATATTAAATAATACATGTTCATATATTTAATGTATCATAATATTAAATAATACATGTTCATATATTTAATGTATCATAATATTAAATTTAATATTAACAAATAATTTAATGTTTCATCAGTACGTACACATGTACATACATTGTAATCTAGGTGACATATTCATTAACAATATTATGGACATGTCCATCTCGAAATCATGTTAAGGTATATCAGATTATTAAAATTAGAAAATATCTGGACTCTTTGATAAATTCTGTAGTAACATGACGGTTAGACTATTCTGTGGACTTCCAGCATCCTCTCTTTGAATCCTGACACGAAACAGAGTTCAACTCCATAGATAATTTCAAATCTCTACTTAAAAACATACATGGATTTATTTGGTTGTAAATACCAATAATCATGCAGCAGGTCTACCTCACTAAACCTTTTAGAGAATAGGGAATAGGCCTTACATGTATATACACAAATACATTATTATTATTATTAAAATCTTCTATGACACATAATCAACAACAAAAACAATGAAATGTCACTTTAAACATACATTCACACAAAACTATTTATTGGTTGGTTATTTCCAATAAAAGTATTAATGCCCAGTCTTACTAGAAAAATACTGGATTATTTGAAAAACACACATGGGGCAAGCACTGGGCAAAAATACATGTATTAGCGTATCACTATTTTGACAACCTGACTTCTTGTCTGCAAGCTTTTTGTCTGCAAGCTTGACTTGGGGATCGGTTGTTATTTCTTGATCAAATGATTGGGCGATTTGGGGAAAATTTAGGAGTGTAAACGAAGACCAGAGCTCAATCTGATTAAAACACAGATCCTACATCGTTTCGTTTTTTTAGTTCATAATTTCGTTTTACTTGTCTTTACTACATTCGGATCTGGATGAGTTATTATATTACCGGCGTTTTGGTTGAAGTGAGGGATTAGCCAATGAAACGCTCTGTTGGGGAACTGTGGGTAAATCACTAAAAACGTCAACGCTAATTGATTAATCATTATCTGACGTCATAGGGTCAAAAGCCACTCTTACGACCCCTGACACGACTTTCCAGTACAACCTGTCAGATCTTCATGTAGTGTAGGCCATCGAAAGTATAAAAAAAAACGAAACGAAATATTGATCTGTATTTTAATAAGATTGACCAGAGCTTTGGGTATCCACCTGCAAATATAAAGGGTTTTTTTTTGGGGGGGGGGGGGGTGAATCTTTAATTAAAATAGTAATAGTGTTCCATATTATAATAATATTAAATAATACATCTATGTAGTGTATCGTAATATATGTATGGTATCCTAATATAGTTATTAATGTTGTAATTATTAATGATGCCAGTTTTACATCGTTTTACATTTACATGTAGTTGGACGTTAAAACTCCATTTCCTTTCTATTTCCTACATGTAGGGAATTATTGAACAACAGAACAAGTTGCTTCTTGAGTTATTCAGCATCATGTGTGCCACTTTCAGGTATTTTTATTGTCACAAATTTGGTCATGACATTTAGGAAATCTCTTTAACCTGACAGATTATCTAAACTTGATCATCTCGACTTTCCATGAGTGTAATCACACGTATATTCATTTTCATCGTAAACTTCAGTATTATTGGAATCGGATTCCGAATCACTGGATACATTTTCATCATCCGATGCACTATCCGGTGATTCACGTATCGTATAAACATTATTACCGGAATTAGATCGAAAAAGCAACATTTTCTTAATTTTTCCAAATTTTCCTTCGTTTGAGAAAGAATCGGAATCATTGCTTTTTTGTTTTGACAGAGTGTCGAAGCGATTTGCACTTACACATGTTTCGACAGAATTATTATGGGATAGATCATACCTATCACCTTGCTCTTTCTCCTTAATGGGCGAAGTCAATTTAGGGGTGGATGGCAATTTGTCTTTGGTTTTATTATCCTGCGATTCATCATCACTTAGTATTGGCTGAACCTGCATGTTATTATTATAAGCTCCACCCCCTGGTTTAAATTTATTTTTTTTATTAACACTATTGGGTGAAGCAGAGATATTTTCATCGGAGTTACGTTTTCTTATATTTCGTAAATTAACTGTCTTTTCTTTTTCGGAGCTACCTTTTCTTTTATTCCCAACATTACCGATAACCGGTAATACGTCGGTATCACTATAAGATTCGTCACTAGGATCGCGATCTCCAATATATTCGACTGGGTGATATGTATCTTTATGCACTCGTAGATCTTGGATCCGACCAAAAGTTTTCCCGCAGCAATCGCATTCATTCCCTATTCCTTTATTTGTCGTGTGTTTTCTCATGAAATGTTTATTCAGACTATTCGTACGATTGTACGTTTTATGGCAAACTTTACAAGTGTAGGGTTTTTCTCCCGTGTGAGACCTTTTGTGCGTGACTAGACTAGAATTGGTTGTATACGATTTCTCGCACAGATCACACTTATAGGGTTTGTCATCACTGTGAGTCCTTTTGTGTCGGATCATATCGCTGCTGTGGCTAAAAGCTTTGTGGCATACATCGCAATTAAATGGTTTTTCACCGGTATGAATTCTCACGTGGGTCTGAAGCTGCGTCGAGCGCAGAAAGGCTTTGCCGCAGATGTCACACTTAAACTGCCTGTCATTGGTGTGAATTTTTGAGTGACGCTTTAAGGAACCCTTTGAATTAACCGATTTTCCGCAGACATGACATTTGAAAGGTGTATCATCTGAATGAGTCCATACATGTGATTGCACATTTCCCGCCGTACGAAATGTCTTTCCGCAAATATCACATTTAAACGGCTTATCTCCACTGTGTAACTTCATGTGATTTCTCAACGCTTTCTTAGAGTTGACTGGCTTCTCACAAATTTCACACACGTAAGGGGTGTCATTGCTGTGCGTCCACATATGGTCGGTCAACCAGCCCACTTTCTTGAAGGCCTTCCCACAAATCCCGCATTCAAATGGTTTAACCTCAGCTGGCCGCGTAAAATCGGGATTGGGAAACTCAATTGGTAATTTAATATGTCTTGGTTCATCCATCTGTGATTCTGACTCTTCTCCGGACAGTTGATCCATTTGTTGGTCAGAATCTGACTCATCATCTCTGGTGGGAGAAAATCTGGATTGCCAAATATAGGGTATTGAAAGAACCAGTTTATCTGGATTTTGGTCTTCGTGTGAAAACTGTCTTTCGTGATCAATTTTCTGTGGATTGGACAACCGTTTATTCAATTCAGTCTGTTTTTGTGCTCGGTCTGGATCTGACAAATCCAGGGGCAAGGGTTCTTCTTCATTTTTGACCTTTAAACCATTTCCTTCTGTCGGCTGCACGACGTCACCGGACATCATCTTGAGATCGTTCAAGATTCCTAGAAAAATTTTTTATAATTTCATTAAGACGGTCATTTCTAAAATATAGTCCCACTCAAAGTAGACATCAAAATGGGTCAACAGAGTGACTGAAGTCATGCAGGAGTTAGAGATGGGATTTAACGTCCACTCGACACAAACTAGGTCATTTTGGGACTCACATATGGTTCAATTTTATTACAATAATTCGCTTGCGCATAGGGGTCTTTAGCAGTGGGAGGAAAATGGCGGATGCAGAGATAACCTACGAGGTTGGACAGGCAACCCTACTCCTTGTCACGTACAACCAGGGAATTGAAACCACATCAGTTGACTCAATGACAGACATTATTATGATACAATTAAGTGCACACAATATAACCATTCGGTCAGCGACCACCACCCCTCCCCCCCAAATGCAGGATTTGGTTGTGTTTATTAGTTTCTATACATGTAGAAATAAATCATACTACACAAAGCAAACGGATGAGACCTTTGAATTTATTACTATGTTAGGGCTGGATAGTGGATATCCTGGAAATGCCGACCATTTTTCCCTAGGAGTAGGACTAGGTACCGTAGTGGAAACATTGATCTCTTCCATTCGGAATTGTAAATGCCATTCTCTTGAAATAATTAAGTTATTAGTTTTGTCGTCTCCATGAAATTGATTGCAAAACACGATCTGGCTGAACTCGTAAACTAGATACCGGTGTATTCAAAATGGATTTAGAGCGGTGTCGAGATTTAAAAATAAAATTATGCAAATTGTTTATTAAATTTTTGAAGACGTTATCGTGTTCGGTTTGATCGTTGAACGCATATATGCTAGTAAACGATATACTACCTTCTCCCGCTATCAGCACCAAATCCAAGGCACCATTTCTAATTGATAACAGATTTTCGTCTTGTTTTTCTTCACTCGACAATAAAATCGGCCATTTAATACAAGGGAAGTAACTCTGCAGGTATCTGAAAAATTATGGACTCGGATCGTGCCTTTGTTTAAAGTTATATTCCTTTCAGGCGCTTAGTAGGCTACAGTTTTTATTGGTTCGTTCGAAAGTCAGTCCCATATCTTTATTGTCTTTAGACGCACAAAATTAACAAATATTGATATGGGATAGGTATATCCTTTGAACACAGTTAAAATACACCCATATTAGCCTACATAAATATGTGTTTTTTGACCCATTTTTCACCTCTTTTAGGCTGCAAAGAATAGCAATTTAGCCCCTTTAATAACGTTAACATACTCACACCTAACAAAGAAAAAAAAAATCGCCATGCGCTTATTTTGTAGATTCTTGGCTCATTCGGACCAGATTCTCGACTCCTTCGGACCATGATAATCATTCAAACCATTACTTGAACATATTCCTGAAGCAATGGTCCGAGAAATCCCTCTCTGCCCATTGCTGGATTGGCTTCTGATACTTTTGAGGGAGTGCGTGTATTCTTCCCGTTCAATGAAATCTATCCCAAGTACAGCAACATGACAGCCCTTCGTAATAATCTGGGGTCTCCCCTAAAACTTTGGACAGTGATTTAAGGTATTACAAACGGTGAAAGTATTCTTCGTCTACATACAGTATTGTTTAAACATTGTATTCGTGTTGTATTTGTCACGCAATTAGTTTTTCTGCAATATTCTGCTATGCACTGGTTAATTGGGTATAATAAAATCGTACGTGAGTCATGACGTAACGTTATGTAAACATATTTGGTCCAATTTGGAGCTCTGTTTAAAATGTAAAGATATTGTTACGCAGTTAGCTATCGGTTGTTAATCGGACTAGGCCTATTGACCAGTCATAATTTAGAACAGAAATTTGCTTCCATTAAAGCAGTGTTTAGTGGGATTTATAGCTCCAACCAAACGAAACACTGCGAGGAGTATGTTATTTAAATGACAAGGATATTTACAATACGAGAGCTGGCTGAAAAGTTCTGAGCCTGAAAAGGATGGGAGGGGTTCACTAGTCCGCCGCTATAAATATGGGTATCAAAAAACCTAATCCGAACCCTAACCCTAACCCTAATAATAGATAACGGTGGACCAATGAACCCGCGGACTAGTGCACCTTAAGATGTCAAACATGCAAAATCTTAAACATATCCGACCATTTCCATAACAAAACATCTGGCACAAAATTCCCAATATTAGACCAACTTTCATGCAGTAGTTCAAACATAATTTATCTAATTTCATGCAGAAAATGTGACAAGCAATACGTAGGGGAGACTCAAAATGCACTTAGGGAAAGAATTAACGGTCACCGGTCAGACATAGTCACCAAAAAGACAAACCTGTCTCAATTCATTTCAACCAACCGAATCATGACATTTCTGATCTCATTGTCACGCCAATAGAAAAGACCAAGAGCGACTTTGAAACTTCAGAAGAAATTAAAACGTTTAGGCTAACTAGAGAAAAATTCTGGATTGACAAATTGAAAACAACAGCCCCCCCTAGGTTTGAATATTTATACGGCTAGCGCAATAGCTCCTTTTGTAGTTCCATTTAGCGCAACAGCAGCAAGTGCATCCAAAATCATCAGAAAACACTATACTGATCTCCAAGAAAGTCACCCGAAAATATTCACACAGAAACTTATAATTGCATATTCTAAAAATAAAAATCTGAACGACATCCTAGTGCACAGTAAATTAGATTAAATAAGACCAGTCTCCACCCTGACCCAAAACAAACCATATATCAAATCCTATCCCTAACCGTAAGTAAATAAAATCAATTAGATATAAGAATCCCTAGCCCTAACCCGGTAATGTGGAACAAACACGATTTTTTAGAAAATCCAATCCGTAGTAAGAAACACACTAATGTGGCTCTCTCCCGAGAGCCTCAAATTTATTTTCTTTTTTCTTCAGAAACAATAATACCAGAATACCAGAAGCACCACCCAAGGAAGACCATCAGCGCCACCAACACCAATAAACAGTGAAATCGCCTTTGTATATAAATCTAATGTATTGTATGTATTTTTAATAAAACTAGGAAATATCACGAACTAATTTTTCATCATCCTAGGTCAGTGCTTATGTGGAGACTTAACCTCTCCCCCAAATTCTTAAACCTAACCCTAACCCAACCCCTATAATAGATATCGGTGAACTAATGAACCCCCTATAATAGATAGTGAGCATTCCCCAAAAGGATACATCAATTTGGTTGAAACCAACTTTTGCCACTAAGTACAATCATTGACAATTTGAATGATCGACGATTGATCACTCGACATATTGCCAGTGTTGTGGGTGTGACAGTTTGAATTGACCCCCGGCGTGTGTTTGCTCCTGGGCACTTGGGCATGTTCGAAACTGTTGTTAGCGTTAACAACGAAGCTATATCTACTTCGGGTGGTGTGAAATGGTTCCTGATCACTGATCAGGTCATCAAAAAGTATTATGTATTTGGTTACTATAATAAGAGGGTTGGGCACATTATCGTGAACGAGTTAAGAATGATAGAAAAAAGTTTCTGAAAGATGTATCAAATCTCATGACTGCGGATCAGAAATGTGACAGATTCATGACGACCCGTCACAATCTGCGCCCTTTGAAGCAGATCCTGAAAATATTTTGACCAGATTTGTAACTATGGATGAAAAGCAACTAGTCGGTCGTCATATCCTAGTACTTTTATTTAAAGGTGACTGAAGAATTTTTTTCCTGATCGGCATCCAAGCCTTGCAACATCGTAAACATAAGTGAGTACACCTTGAAGGGGACTATGTAGAAAAATAAATGGAAACCATCAACTTCGCACAGGTCTTTCATAGATAGGCTTAGAAATTTTCAGCCAGCCCAATAAAACACAGATCCTATTTCGCTTCGTTTCGTTTTTACAGTTCAAAATTTCGTTTTACTTGTCTTTACAACACTACTGACCTGGAAGCGTTATCACTGACGTGTTATGAATGGTGTGAGCGATTAGCCAATGAAACGGTCTGTTACGGCGAACTTTAGGCGTGTTTTGCACGGAACTGTATGTAATCCACTAATAATAGCAATGCTGACTGGTTAATCAAATGTCTGACGTCATAGGGTCAAAAGCCGCTCGTATGACATCTGACGCGACCTTCCACTAGAACTGGCCAGATCTTCATGTAGTGCACATGTAGGCCATCGAAAGTATAAAAAAGCGAAACGAAGTATAGATCTATAAACTATAACATACTTATGGAAGAACAATTACTGATTTATTTGGGCGACGTTTCGAAGAGTATTCTCTCAACGTTTTCAAGCAAGAACAGTAACAAATGTCTAGAGCAATAACAACAATCCAGAAACCATGCATGACAACAACAAGATCAAAGGAATAAAAACAACATGATCAAAGGCAATGTACATATGAAGGATTAGTGAGGCCACTGATAGGTAATTATAGGGGTAAATAATTTTAATTAGACAACCAATCATGACAAATGAGAAACCATACATGATGTGATTGGCTAGGTGAGGGTACATCCAGGGAATAGTAAAGGACTGATAATAAGGGTAACAATACCATTAAACCAAACAAAAGGGAAACCATGCATGTTACGAAAACATCAGAGAAGTAGTAAACTACATAGAGATTAAATGGTTAAGCCATATTTAAGTGAATTCCAAAATATTAGTATTAAAATGCACACAACACAGCACAACTAGCATGCTCTTAAGTAAGAGTGTAATGATAGTCCTACACTCTTCCATCCGGCAGACTCACACAAACATTTATGCCTAGGATAAGTACAAGAAAACTTAACTGTTTACTAAGGATAATTACATAAATGACCATAATTAAGTGGGATATAATGGTTAATTATAAATATTGGAAAGCCACACCACAGTCTTATCCACAGGCTCCTAAGTAATTATGTCCTACACACTCCTTCCCATTGGACACACACACTTATTAAAATTAGTTCTTGGAAGGAATATTCCTGTGTCGCGATTGAGGTCTGGTTTGGATCTCCTGATATGTATTGCTTCCATGATTTTCCGTGTCTATTCGTTGTGTTGGTTGAGTGCTAGGGTCTTAGACGAATGGATTTTGTGGCCTGGATTGGACTGGAGGTGCTGGGCAACTGCTGTTTCTGCTGTGGGGGACCTAGAGTGATGCTGGGCGAGTCTTTTAGGTAGGGATTGTCGAGTTTCACCAATGTATGTGCTATGACACGAACACACAACTTCATAGACACATCCTTTAGGTGGCAGTGGAATGGTGGGTTGCAGTTTACCATTCGCTTTCAGGTGGTCTTTAAGCGTGGTGAATAACTTATAAAAATAAGATATTTATAGCACTGCCATTTATTTCACCGAACACAAATTGGCGACCTATTCGACTAGCGACCCATTCGACCGATCCACCTGGCAACCCTTTCGTTGGCAACCTATTCAGAACTATGCCAACACTACAGTCGCCCAAACTCATCTATTTTTATCCACCAATAAAATCCAACGTTACGTGTATCAAATGAAAGTAGAATATATTCTTTTTTATACAATCCTTTAGCTCAGAAAAGAGGTGTAATTTCGCATTATCTTACAAAATTCTGGACATCCAACTAAATATATTCCGAAAGGTAATTAAATAGGCTTTCCAAATTTTATTAGTAAACGTTGGCACAGTCATATTAAAGGGGTGCACTCTCATCCTAAACATGGCCAACTTTTTTTAAAAAAATTTAAAGGCGAAGTCCGTTAATATTCCGTGTCAAAATTCGGACCATCGTACAAAATTCTGATGACCCAACTAAATATATTCTAAAAGGTAATTGAATAAGCTTTCTAAATATTATTAGTGAAAGTTGGCACAATCATATTAAAGGGGTGCGCTCTCATCCTAAACGTCGCCAATTTTTCAATATTTTAAAGTGAAAGAACGGTAATATTCCGTGTCAAATTCGGACCATCGTACAAAATTCTGAGCATACAGCTATATATATTCTGAAAGGTAATTGAATAAGCTTTCTAAATATTATTAGTTAAAGTTGGCACAATCATA